AAAAGTAATTAAGAATGTATGCAGTTACAGGAACACGAAGTTAAAACAACAGAAAATTTGTTGAGAAAACTCAAAACCACAAAAAGAAACAGCATATTATCACTGGAATTTATCCCACAGAAATGTATTTAATGACAAATGTATGCATCATTCACTTTAGTTCACTGAAAAGTTGTGTTATTATCTGTTCTTTACATCTTGTACACTAAGTAACTACTTTGACAATAATGATATATACTCTAACTACTATTATTCTCTTATTATTTGACTATAAATTTTTTTTCATGACATTTGAAAGTATCTTGTAGAGTAGGCCATCTTTATCCACAGCGGTGTGTCCCAAGACTCCCTAGATAACCTGAAAACTAGTATATATAGGATACATAAAACACAAATATAAACCCTATGTATACATATTTTCCTATAAATACATATCTATGATAAAATTTATAAATTAGGCATAGTAAAACATTAACATCAGTGATTACTATTGATCCTGAGAATATACTGTATTAAATAAAATGATTCTGACAATATACTATAATAAAAATTACTTAAAACCCATGAAATGCTAATGTTACATTTAACAGTTTTGAAGTGTAACTGATCATAGGTAATTGAAACATGGAAAGTGACACATAGATGGTTGTGAGGAGACTACAACATAACTAACCCAAGTAAAACAATTCCAGTTATAGCTGAGGAATACTCAGTCTATTATATCAAATGCTTAAACAATTTTTATAGTATTCTGATAACTTTTATCTTTTTAAAATTCTTAATTCATTCCACTTGAATTTATTCTGGTATTCAGTTTGTCACTTTTTCTCAAGAACTGCACAGTCAAAGTCATCCACAACAGTCTAACTTTCAGTTGCTAAACTAAAAACATTTTAGGATTGCTTTCATCCTTGAGGCTGTACTTGTCTTTAAACTGCACTATGGTTTTGAATAAAACATGGATATATATTATAAAACATGTATGTAATTTACTTTTATATTTCAATGCTAGTGGTTTCTTATGTGTATCTCTTTGTGCACTAGTCACTACTTCATAAATCAGAAGCTGAATCTCATTTTCCATCTTTAAAACAAATGTAAGAATTGCTTTTCAAGGCTCTATTTTTTCTACTTTCACAAGTGAGATCACAGAACTTGGTTACAAAGAAGAAAGGCTCAGTAAATTGGTAACAGCTCAAATAAAGTACACAAAAATACATATAATGTCCCTTGAATCTTTTTTATAAACATGAATAGAAGAAAACGTTTTCATTCATGGAACTCTACCAGAAAGAAGCTGAAGGACTTACACAGACCAACCACATATATCCAACCACATATATACACTCTTTAATATGAGCAAGAGCAATGAGTCTACAAAAGCACTGAATCCCTCTTTTTGACAGAAACTTTTTTTTTACTTGCTATTCAAAAATGTGGTTAATGTCATGTACTCAGAGTAACTACTTTGAAGATGATGATATGCAGTGCATTTACCTATTGTTACTCTTATTTTTTATAGGATAAAAACTTTCATAAAACACTATTGCTTGGTATTCTTTGCACTGTTTACTAATTTAAAATGGCCCTACACTGCCCATCAATACTGGAATTAAATTATTTTTACTATATTACTAAAAAAATAACATGAGAAACCAATAGTACCTGTTATAATTCAGATCTAGAATGTCCTCCAAAGGTCTCACATATTCAGAGGTAGTGCTTTTGGAAAGCTCATGGGGCCCTACACCTGATTTCTTGTTAGGAAGTAGGGCCTGATGAGAGGCAGGTCACAGGGTGGGGGAGGTGACCCAGAAGGGTGTCTCTCCCTTCCCAGCTCCTCTCTACTACCAGCTTCTGAGCCATCATGAAGTAAGTGGATGTTTGTATGTCATGTCCTTCGGAGATAACATTTCTACTTTGAAACTGACCTAGCATGGAGTCAATCTACTGCAGCTGTGAGCCAAAATAAACCTTGCCTTCTTCAACTTAAGGGTGTCAGCTCTTTTGTCTCAGTAACAAGAAAGTGACTAAGACAACATTCATAACAATGAAACTGGAATTCTACTGTGCTGGGACGTTTTATAAGTATTGTGATGCTTCCAATGAAATAAGAACCCAGTAGAAGTGGAAGGAAACAATATGCTTGATACAAGATGATGATGGAATTACTTTGTGCAGTAAGAGTAATTATAAGCTGACCTCACCACACCACAGTGCTGTGGGGCATGAGTGACACATGAACGAAGAGTGTGAGTCGCCCAGAAGGAGAATAGGAGAGCTGCATTAGTGGGAGACTGAGCAGAGCTAGAACACAAACTGAGAAGGAAGGATTAGTAGAAAAGACATTGTAATTTTTTTGATACCAAAAAAATCCCCTCAGGTACTCTGTGGCTTTTCTTAGCAGTATCAAAATTAGAATTCAGTCATGTAAATGTATGGCCCTTTCAAAATTTCTAAAAACTTGGCCTATTAAGTTCCTTTCGGGGCTGGGGAGATAGCTCAGTAGAATAAGCACTTGCCAGGGAAGTGCAAGGGCCTGCATTCAGTCCCTGGTTCCGCAAAAAAAACCAAACAAAACGAAAGTTCCTTTCAATATTTGCCTACATACAAATCACTCCTCCTCTCCCTGCCCCCCAGATACTTTCTTGCTGTAACTGACAAATTTTCTTCATGAGAAATTCTTGAATTACTTCTTTGTTCAGATAGATAGAAGGTAAATGTAACACCAATTCAAGACAATCTTAGTATTTATGTTTTAGGGTTTCTAAAACATTTGAATCCTTGCAGTTGTTTTTTATCCCCCTGAAAATCCATACTTTTGTTTTAAATTTTTTGTTTTGAGCCTGAGTAATTTACAAAGGAGACAGAAATTAGTATATCAAAGATAAATACAGCTCCTAAATTAAAAAAAAAAAAAGACTGAAAACTCCAATGTGACCTAGCTTAGTCTTGATCCAGATCTATAACTAAACAACAGTAATAATTTAAATTTTAAAACTTTAAAATCAAACACAAAATATCCAAATGAACAACTTTATCTTAAGGGCTACAACTGTGTGCCTATTTTAATTACATTATACGATTGTATTGACATTTAAAATAACTTATCAAGAGCCTGTCTCAAAATAAAAATCAAAAGGGGTCCAGCCAACACCTGCAAGCAGGCGCAGGGGCTGGGATTTGATCTCCGGGTGTACCCCTGGGGCACGCTGAGACCACAACTGAGATTGGATGTGGTGGCACATGCCTGTAATCCCAGCACTTGGGAGGCTGTGAACAGGAGACTCACTATGAGTCCCATCTAGTAGCGAGACCCTGCACACCCTGCAGACCCTTCCCTAAAAAAAATAAAAATAAAAAAAAAAGGGTGGGGGGGGTAGTTCAGTGGTTGAACACATACCTAATGTATAGAAGGTCCTAGGTTCAAATCCCAGTGCAAAACCCCTTACAAAAAAAGTTGTGGTTTTTATTAAACACTTATTAAAACAGAACTTTTCCCAAATAGCCAATGGGTTTAATCCACTAAAAATTTAAAGTTTTTTAACCCCCATTTGAAACAGTTTTCTTTAATTAGCTGATAATTCATTATAGAAACAGAATGATTTATTAAATTCCCTTATTTTGCAGACCAGCTACTTGTACATTCACTCTATCAAACAGTTTTTCTGCTATAACTTGAATTCCTGTTTAAAAATGATGCCAATTCCTCTTGGGTGTTCTGGTGATGAAAATGATTCCTTAAATGTTAGCCAAGTTATTTTCAGTATATATCTTATGAAAAAGCCACAATGTTAGGGCACACCTAACATTGTTTGGGTATGACCAAACAAAGGAAAAACTAAAACAATTACTTGGATGTTTAAAATAACAGAGGGCTGGCAAGCGCAAGGGCCTGAGTTCAATCCCTGGTTCCGCCAAAAAAAAAAAAAAAAAAAAAAAAAAAAAGGGCGGGGGGAGGGGGCCCAGGGGTCTAAAGCACCTACTTAGAACAGGCTTAGCAAATCACAGGGACCATGGTTCAATCCCCCCAGCACCACATGCCAGCCAGCCCCGCCCCCTGGTGGGCTGAGCTGGCCACACACACACACACACACACACACACACATAAATAAATAAAATAAAATAACAGAGGGCAAAAAAGGGTACATGAAAAGTATGCTCATTGGTAATGGTGGTATACCCCTGTAATCCTAGAACTGAGGAGGCTGAGGCAGGAGGGTTACCATATGTTCAAGGCTAACCTGAGCTACAAAGTGAGATCCTGCACTCGACTAAAATAAAGCTAATTAATTTTTAAATATATTATAATATGACTTAATATATAAAATTAGCCAAAATATCACATTTCTGCTTTCCTTTTTTAAAAGTTGGCTGTCCTCTAAAATACTTCCCTTTTTGTTGAGTCAAGATCGAGCTTGTAGTCTCCATAAACTTATGGTGATAAGCCTGCCTCAGCCTCTGAGTGCTAGGATTATAGGAGTGAACCACCATACCTGACTCTTATTGTATAGTTCTGGTTTAAAATGCAAATAAATCAAACCAAGAAAAATAGCACATAATAGTCATGAATTCCAGGGCATATACTCGAAATAAAGAAATTACTAAGTAGAAAGTTTGGCAGTTCTAAAATACTACTTAACCCAAAAATCTTGGTTATTTGAAATATATAGTCCTATGTTCTTCTCATTCATCTGAACAGGTCTGAAAATCATTTACCTTTGGGTGGGGTACATAGCTCAGCAGTAGCACTTTTGTTGCCTAGCATAACATGGCCATGGATTCAATTCCCAGTCACACACACACACACACACACACACACACACACACAGAAGAAACCATTCTCTTCAAAATCAGTTACATAACTCACAAATCTTCATAGGGCATACAGTGCTGCTATAAATTCATGAAACATCTTCATTTTGGAAGGTTTTCAAAAATGTGACAATCCCAACACCGAGAAAAAAACGTCAATAGCATAATATAGGTAAAAAACTGACCTGATTGATGGAATTGGCAGCACAGGACGCAAGGCCTGTTCCAAGAGAAGCAAACAGGAAACAGGGCCAGTCAAAAGGACCAGGAGCCAATGCAAATCCAGCTGAAGTGGTACTTACAACTAGGGCTGCAGTACAGAAATAGAGCAGATAGTGTTACCAGCAGAACTCCCAGCTATTCAAGCCAAAATGACAATTAGCCGATGTCCTTATGAACCAGTCAATGACACTCATAACACACACTACAAGTTCATCTTTCATTTAAAAAAAATACACTTCCTTTGTGATAAAAATCTTATGTATTACATACATTGCAGAAAAATGTTAACTTCTTTTAACTGACTATATTAATGAATAGAAAATAAAATGTGTCTTCTAGTTTCATTCATTTACTTATGCATTTAAAATTTACCAAAAACCAATATTCATGATCACTTCATTTAACTCCTAAGAGATCTCAACTAAGTCTAGGGAGGAAACACTATAAAGATATATACAGTCTTTCACTCTTGCTCTTACATAGATTCACAGGGAGATGATTAACATGCATTAAAACATGTAACACATGGTAGCAAATAGTAAGGGTCCTAATTCTGTGACAAACTTCAGACAAGGGTAATACAGAGCTTGCTTATAACAAATGATGTCTTAGGATACTATGAAGAAGATATTAATTATACATTGACTGGCATGAATCAGACAAAGAGTAAAATATAGAAACAAAGCCATGTAATTCGAATACCACAAGTATACTCCTTTTTTGGAAGACTATGTCACACCTTTCCTAGGGTTTACAGAAACTGACATGGCCAGAAATTATCTAAGCAAGATACTGATTTGAGGCAGTAGGAATTCACAAGCAAATGTTTAGCACTGGTGAGCTACTCTGAGAAAGCTTTAAGGTGACATTGAAGCTGGACTTTTAGGAGGGTATGGAAAGAAAAGAAGGGAATGGTATAGCGAACAACATAACAAGTAGATAATTTTAAGAATAGGCACAAGGGCAAGGAAGAAGAATATAAAGAGTGTCACTATTGATTCAAGTATTGTGAAAGACAAATCAGAAAGCTAGAAAGCAATTCTGATTCTTTCCTTCTTCACTCTCAATATTCCACTCATTACAAAATATCAACTCCTTCACCACTATGTTGTGTTTCAAACCTATCTCTACTATCACATCTAGTCCAGGGCTCCCAGCCAGGTTTGATTTTGCTTCCCAGGGGACATGCGGCAATGTCTGGAGATAAGTTTTGGTTGTCACAAGTGGAAAGGACAGGGCCACTGTCTTCTAATAGGGAAAAGCATGGTTTAACACTCTGCTATGTGCAAGACCACTTACAGACAGACTTTTATGGCCTATGATATCAAGAATGCTGAGACTGGAAAATCCTGAGACAGTCTAAGCCCTTACTTTTTCCCTACCTTGACTCCCTGCTTCTACCCTGCTTCTCTGTGAAGAGGTGTTTTAAAAATATAAACAAATGACATTGTTTCATTGCTTAGAAAATCTCAATACACCAGAAATAAAATAAAAAAATCTTTACTTTCCCATAAGCACAAATCCTATCTCCCTATAGCTCACCCGCTGTTCCCCTATCACAAAGGCCTTCTTCTCTTCTTTGAGGAACTTCTTGCAAAGTCCTTTCATCTAACAAATTATCAGTCAGAAAGAACATTCCTGATCATGTCATCCAAAGTAGTTGCTCAGTACTCATATCATCTTTCTATTTTCTTCAACACACAAATTGCATTCTGGCTTCTCATAAGAATGTAAGATCCACAAAGGCAGCAACTCTTTCTTACATGGCATGACTAAATTCTCAGGGCTGCCACTTTGCCACGTACAGAGTGATATTTATTGGAGGAAGGGGAGGAAGAGTAGCAGCCACCATATTCAGAATATCCAGCTGAGGAGTTTGTACTTTGTTTCATGGTCAGTAGAGTCTCTGACTGTTCAATACAAGGAAATTATGTGAGTCAAAGTTCAGCTTGGTGGCAGTAAGAACCACAACTTACAGGGACAGAATCTTGCAAGAGATACAATCTATGAGGCTGTATCATTAATTCACTGTGAATAAGTGTAGCAGACAGGGAACTGCAGGATTAAAGGCCTATTTTGATTAGAAGAGTACTATGACCTTACAACTGTGAGAGCTAAGACAAAACAACAATAAAAAGGAATTAAAGGAAATGTACTAGATTTTGATGGTATGCAGAGTAATTAAGAACATTAGCAGAAATAAAGAAATCAAGGAAGAGGTAATGATAATATTTGGTCCTAGAAAGCGGCTTCTTCTGAGAAACTAGAAATCACAGTAGACATAGAAAGTGAGGCAATAAACTCTGGAGTCACTTGTGTGAAGCCATGGCTGAACCTAAGGGAACAGAGAAGGTTATCAGCAGGCAGCAAGTGCACCAGAGAGAAATGTATGAGCAATGTCATGGTTTTAAAGAGGAAGGATAGAATAAGAGAAACAAAGAATATTTGGAGATAAGAATCATGAGGCTGAAGTGTGGATGTCCAATAATCACATGATGTGCCACAGGGAAAAAACAATGAAGTGCCATTACTGATACCAACTGGCATTCTGGTTTGGACATGATATCCCCTCCCAGAAGGTTCATCTTCTTGGTTGTGTTCAACAACTGTCTGCAAGATGACTCACGGAGAAGAGATTACCGTGTCACCTTACCATCATTGTATTGGTGACAACTGTACCTGGATAATCAACTTATAAAGATAAAAGGGTTATTTTTACTTAACTTTAAAGGTTTTAATAACACTTCTTCTGGGCCTGGGCAGTATAGAAAATTATGGCAGAAATGTGTGGCAGAGCAAAACTACTTATCTCATGGATGAGACACAAAAGAGAAAAAGAAACGGAAAGGACCAAGGCTCTATAGTTCCCTTCAAGGACACAATCTCAATGACCCACAGACCTCTTCCCATTAGACCCTGTCTCTTCAAAGTCCCACTACTTCCCAACACTGTCACTCTAGAGAACAAGACATTAACACACACTGGCTTAGGGGAGACATTTTGAGTGGAAATCATCACAAAGCTGGAGATTGTCTCTAAAGCTGAAGATCAATTACACATGCGATGCTAAAGCAAGGCCAGCATGGAGAACACAGAGACAAGGAAGAGGCTAAATTGATCTGGGATCAATTAGGAAATTAACTCAGGGAGCCCAAGAGACAGTAACCAAAAATGAGAATCAAAAGCCTGAGTAGGTGATAAAGTAGATGGATATAACCAAACTGAAAGTTATGTGAAAGAAAGGACATGAAAGTTATCAGTATTAAGAAAAAATGAAATACTATTATATGTATATATATTTAGATAGATAGATAGTAATACATATATATACATCTATCTATCTATCTATCTATCTATCATCTATCTATCTATCTATCTATCTATCTATCTATCTATCTAATGATAAACGGTTTTATTCCTTCCAAATTCTTATAAGAGATCTCTACTAACTGAACTATAAAAATTCTGACTAGTCTATTTATACCTGCTAAAATTATGAGTTATTATAATTCAGTTTGGTAAAAAATTATTTGAGTGCACTCTGATTTTGTAATGTGTTTGCCTGTTTGTCCAATATGTTAAGCTGTGTATTTGTCTGTCCAATCTGTTAAAATTTGTTTTTTTGTTTGAGCTCAACAATCATTTTCTCTTTTCTTCTTCTTTTGCATTTTTGGATCATTTGTTCATACTTTTAATTTGGTTTATAGATTAAAAAAAAATGCTTCCACCTTGGTTACCAGCTGGTCAATATGGTATTAAAATTGGTTTTCTCATAGGTCATCAGAAATTTGTTAAGGTGCTTAAATGGGGACCTTTTGGGGTTGGAAGATTTTGGTCAAGGCTCCCTCTGGTGAAAAAAAAAAAACAAAAACAAAAACAAAAAAAAAACAGCTGCAGAAGAAGATTGGCCTTCCCTTGTTCACTGATGGGAGGCTCCAATGATCTCCACAGCCTTATGTAAGACATCCCAATTAATGTTATTAAAATATTATTGTGATATGTTTATATTGGTCATTGCCCAAAGATTAAGTTTTTTAAAAATAAGACAGTAGGTTTTTCAATATTTAAAGGTGCTCTGGTGGCTGGGAGGATAGATTGGCACTCTCAGCACCTGCATGGCAAGCACAAAGACCCAGGCTCAATTCCCAGTACCACATGCCATGTCAGCCCTAGAACCACGGGCATGTCATGCCAGCTGCCAAAACCATGTGTGGTTGTGCATGCCTGTAATCCAAGTGCTGGGGAGGCTGAGATGGGAAAATCACTATGAGTCTGAGCTGTGGAGCTAGACCCTGTATCTAAATTAATTAATTGATTAATTAAAAAATTGAAGTTGTTCTGGTACAAAACAAGTTCAGAAACCAAAGTTTTCATATGGTATGACAACTGATTGCTATTAATCTTGTAGGATAGTAAATGTATTCATGCCTTCATGTACAGGTCTTCAAAAATGTAAAACAGGGATTATTTATGGTAATAGGCTTTTCTTTGAGGTTCAAACACTTGCCATTCTTTTTTTTCCTCCAAATTATTTTTACTTGAGATTATCACAAGATTTGTAAATAAAACTTAAAATATACAAATCTGCAAAAAATAGTCATAAATTAATTTTTTCTTAACTTTATTTTATTTTATTAATTTTACTGAGAAACAAATAGAAATGAGACAGTTTCAAAATCTATTAGTAGGACAGTTTCCATCATTAATACAATGCATACTATTGTCTTTGTAGTGGTTATTCATAGTACAAGATGCAGACATGATATCCTGTCCAAACACTATTAGTACAAATCTTTCTTCTCACTGAATTAAGAG